ACAGCATACAAATTAAATGAATAGTCATTACATTGATATATCTCATTTTTTCCACTGAAGTATCATTTTTCAACATAATCCCCTAGCGCATGGACTCATTTGTCATGTCTTGGCACACGTTTAAATATTCCGTTGCAGTAGAAATTTGTCTTGTGCATTTGCAGCCAATCATTGGCAGCCATTTCCAATTCTTCATTATCGTTAAATTGCCAACCTCTCAAGTGATTCTGTTTGTTGCATGTTACCCCCTATCCCTTTCAAGTGTCACAACCTACGAAAAATAAAATGCGTCATTAACACTAACATTACAGGCAAGGGAACCTTACTTATTGAACATTCCTTGTATATTATTAAAAATTATATGTACATTTTCTTCTTTTGATTATTTATTATTGTTTCCTTCATTAATTTGTATTGTATTTTTCATTTGTCAAAGGTTTACATAGGAAATATTGAATTGGCAGAATATCTGAGTATTTTTGTTGTTTTGTAATATTGTTGTATGACCATCAGCACACCAAAATTTATAATAAATAAACCATTATTACTGTATTAAACATCCTTTTATTATGTACACTTGCTACATGTTTTGATCGAGTTGGATAATCAGGCAGTTTTCATGAAGTGTACTACTCATTATTGGATTGCATTTCTAATAAAGAATAGTACACTTCATGAAAATTGCCTGATAATTATCATACTGGATCTAAACATGTAGAAAGTATGCATAATAAATGAATGTTAATGCAGTAATATTGATTAATTTATTATGAATTTGTTGTGTTGATGGTCATATAATGGTAGTGTGTAGTAATACACAACAGGTTGCAAACAATACAGATTATTAACTCTTTTAGTTCAATTTTATAGAAGCATCTGATAAGTAAATCTCTTGCAACTTAACATTGTGTTACCCAGGTGCATAACTTTTGATATTAACTGATCATGCCTGTATATAGTAAAAGTATCACTTGCGTGTTCTTCATTGTTACATTAGTTTGCATTGGTTAGCCATCAGTCTCATTGTTGTGTATAAATTTCTGACAGGGATGACCAAAAAGTTGTAGACATAGTCGCAGCACTGTAGATTGCATGTTTTAACATTTATTGTATGTATAATAACCATTTGGCATGGGGGTATAGCATATCTTTGTGTTTATAAATGAATTTTTATGTGTCTAACACAGGAACCCTAAATAGTAAGTGTAACATTTTATGATATGTTCTTTTGCCCACGTTTGGTGAATGAATATGCCTTTGATGTTAATGGTCTGTACCCTATGTAGCATGGGATATGCTTCAGAACCTGCTGTAGGAATTAAATGATGCTGTAGCATTGAAGACATCCAGCCTATATATTGTTTGAGCTCTTCATTGTCACACAGTATATAAATACTGTTGTTTTGCATGTTTTATCATTGAGGAATATTTTCATTAGATTGATCAAGTATGAGGCTGAAAAATATTAAGAAATTTCTTGTCAAATTGGGCAAAACAAATTGAAATATGTATCTGTTTATCTTTTAATAGTAGGGGTTGGTTATTATTATTATTTTGAGATATGTTCAACTATGGGGAAGAGAGTTTTCATATTTGGTATGAAGAAGGAGATAAAATTTAATCTCTTATATAATTCGTGGCTTTTTTTTAATTTAATAATCTGATACTAATCTCTAGATATATGAATTTATCATAATTATTGACGTTTCTTAAATTAGGCCCCATGTCTAGGTTTCATAACTTCATTAAATGAAGAACATATCATCTAAGGTAGAGATATCGCACGTATACTGTCTTTAATTTGCTCCCTCTGCAATGTAGTTACAGTAATATTGACAAAGATCTACATTAATTCTAATCATGCTTCCTTATTCTTTGCTTTATTAATGCTATATAATTTTGTTTGTATGTACTGGAGTTTGTTTTGCCCTTGTTCATTGTGTATATGTATGAGATACAATGTTCTCAAAAGTATGGTTATGTACCACACCCTCCTCTGAGATTGAATGAGGGAGAAGGATAGAGGAAGGAATGCACCTTGTCCACTTTCACCTCCCCAAACATTCATGTAATCCTCTGCCTTCTTGCCTTGTCTTCAAACATCGGAGCGAAGGATCATCTCCTGCTGCTGTCATCTGGGCTTGTGTGCGTGATAATGGTGAGTGTGCTTCCTCTGTCCTTCTCCAGTCTTGCCAATTTTCAGGGTCTGCTGTTTTGGCAGTAGGTGTAGCTTACATAAATTCAAAGTTCAAAACTTGAATCAGTTCATTAGGGCTGTATATGAAGCATGGAAATTTTAGCTGTATATTGATCCACTTTCCCATTTGATTTATGTTTTTCTATCATAGTTTTGTTGTTAATGATAATTTGAAATGAACATCATGTTATGGAAAAAGGTAAATGTTGTTTGAATGGTTGAACTTCCACTCTAACAGCAGGTACATTTTCAGCCAGCACACTCATTTAATATTAGAAGCCTGTGGCATAGAACACAATCTGCACTCCCCATAGTGAAGTCAACACTTCAGTGTACTAGATTTGTAACTATAGTTCTCACTCTGCAGGAGAAAGATACAGTGTAGCAGCCATGCTTTTGGGCTTGATGAATGTGTTGGTATAGATGATTTGAATGGTCCATCCTAGCTAGCTTATGTATGTGTGTGTGTGACTGATGGGCATTAGTCTTGGTAACTTAGTGTGTTTATAAAAGAATATAATGTTCTTGGTGGAACAGAGAGTAACACATATGTGACTAATTTCAGCTACTGTTTCTAACATGGAAAATGGGGAGAATTAGGTTATAAGTTTCAGTTTTGTTCCACTCTTAAGTGAAGTGGGGGATCAGTTTTTGGAAATATATTGCTTTATATGGATAAAACTGGATTTTATATCCCTTATAATGTTTGAGAAATTAATCTTATGTTTAACAACATTAGTGACATTTTATAATACATATTTACCAATTCTAAACTTGCACAGTGTTTTCTGCCACAGTATATGCATGAATTTAAAAAATAACTCATCTTGGAATAATAGGAGAAACAGTTTTATGAATAATAATGGTAGTAAACTCTGTAGAGTGCTGTTTCTCACTTTTTTGTCGCAGAACCTTTTTGCACCCAAACGCTTTTTATGTAACCTTTAATAAGATTCTTACATGTGAAGCCAAAAAACTAGGCCACAAATAAGTAAGGATAATAATTCATAAATATGAAACAAGGATATGAGATGAACATGTTAAGTGCATATACAGTAGAACTTGGTTATAACGTCATCAAAGGGACCTAAAAATAGTGTCGTTATAAATAAATGTCGTTGTAACCGAAATGGGCACTTCCACAGTAGCCTTATATTAGTCACGTAAAAATCTACCAAAAACTGAGTTAGAATGTTGCATTTTTTTAGTGAAATACATAGTTAAGTACAGATTAACGTAACATTAACATGGAATTGCCCAAATGTGTAATATCAAAGACATATTACAGCGCTTTTCACTGACAATACACACTGCACTAATACTGTATATTAAAGGTGGGCCTACTCACCAAATTACAGTAGATTACATCAATTGTTGTGCCTTACTGTACCTAGATACGAGTACAGTAATCAGTTATCTTCATCTGTTTCCTGTTACTTGCCCAGTACACACTTTCTAAATTATGTACAATGTCCATCTCAGAGAAATTCAGGAATGAAAATGACGTTACATACGAGGTTGATGCATTTGTGCATGTCGTACTAAGCAAGGTATAAAAACAGTTGCTTTATGAGGAATTAGTTCGTACCATTGAATATTTGACGCAATAGACAAGGTGTCGCAGAAACCGATGTTGCTATAACCAAGTTTTACTGTATTTGGAAACAAAAATTGCACTTCATGTATGTGAAAAAATTAAGCTTAAAAATTAATATGCCATATGCACTGCTTTAGAGCAGTGGAAAGAAATATATTCTATGTATCAATCTGAGTATTCATATTTAATTGTGATTTTTTATTTTTATATATTGCATCATTTCATATTAAGATTATGAACATCAAATATTATGGGTCATGTTGCATGTTTGCTTTTATTTGTAGAAGACTGTTTTAGGGCCTACTTCCTGGTTTAAAGTTTCTTTTCTTCCCCCAACATTTTCCTTGAGACATTTTTTTAATCCTGCCATATCCACATTATGTTTCTATGGCAATATTATATCACAGAATTGCAAACGTTTTGATCAGAGACAGTATTCATAGTACAGAGGCTCTTCCAAGCAGTGCCTTCTAGAGACAGTATTCATAGTACAGAGGCTCTTCCAAGCAGTGTCTTCTAATTTTCATTTGTTGTAATCTCTTTGCTCATATATCACAATTGTTTCTGCTGTTTTAGTTCAGAGAACTGAAATATAAAATTTGGATTTTTAGATTCATATTAAGAGTAATTACCCTCTAGATCTGATTTTTGTAGTACAGTAATTTGTGTGTGCTATGTTCCTGCAAACTTGGCAGTAGTTAAAGGATTACTGTACTTTTATTCTGTGTCTGTTATGTCTGTCTATATTTATGTAAAGCTCTTCTGTGAATTGTACTTACAGAAAAACTGAAGTGCATATCTGATGTGTTCTTTTCGTGTAAGAGCGGTTAGCTGCAGTTCTTCTTTAATGAGCTAACGGAAGTGGAGGGGGCGGTNAAGTATTATATTGATGGTAAGAAATATTTAAGCTATGTGGTGATTCACCCATATGATGTCTGCATAAGGCATGAATTAATCAGAAATTTGATATTTTTGGGCAGTCAACAAATCCAATATTGTGTGTTTCTGATGTGTGATGTGAAAGTACAGAAAAAGGCTAATGCCTTGCTCTTCCTCCCTATCCTGTATATGAGGTTACATTAAACTGTGCACTCATACATGATATAGCCATATGCTCATATGTTCCCTTCTTTCACTCAGTTCTTTGTTTAATACTTTTTCAAATTTAAGTTAGCGTGAACCATGCCTGTCTTCTTATGTTGACAGGTTGGTGGGGTGTGTCTGAGGCTACTGAATTTACCTTCAATCCCCTCATGGAAGCTGTAGATGTAGTATGGAATACCCTTGTTGGGTGCATGTTGATTCCATTTGGAGCTTATAGTGCCTTGAAGGTGAGTGAATACTTATTTCCCTAATCTGAATTTGAAACAGTTTTTTTTTTTAATAATTTTCTTCTTGCCACTTATCATTTAGTGATACAGATGTGATGATTAAGTGAAATAATAAATTATAAAACAAAGGGAATGTTGCATGTGTATTTTAGTAAAACCATTTGAAATAAGAAGCAAATGAAATTTGTTACTGTTTAGAGAAATACTTGAAGTTTATCTTTTATTAGATAAACTTTATATTTTATTATCTTTTATTATTCTTTATTAGAATGATCAAATGAAGGAGGATGAGGTGGGCAGGGCATGTAGCATGAATGGGGGAGATGAATGCATATAGGATATTGGTTGCATATTGGATATTACTGTTTAGAGAAATACTTGAAGTTTATCTTTTACCATTTTAATGTATAAATTTCATTGCATCTGACCTCTTGTTAGTACAATTCATACTGTTTCATCCTTCGCACCCCATCGTTCTTTCATTTACATAGTCTCTCATTTATTACCCATATGAAGTTTGTGAACAGGGTGTTGAGGAGAATATTTGGGCCGAAGAGGGATGAAGTGACAGGAGGCTGGAGAAAACTGCATAATGAGGAGCTTCATAACTTGTACTCTTCTCCAGGTATAATTAGAATGATCAAATGAAGGAGGATGAGGTGGGCAGGGCATGTAGCATGAATGGGGGAGATGAATGCATATAGGATATTGGTGGGAAAGCCAAAAGGAAGGAGACCACTGGGAAGACGAAGGCATAGGTGGGTGGACAATATTAAAATGGATCTTGGAGAGAGAGAGGATGAGATGGTATGGATTGGATTGATCTGGCTCAGGATAGGGACCAGTGGCAGGCTCTTGTGAACACAGTAATGAACCTTTGGGTTCCATAAAATGCTAGGAAATTCTTGAGTAGCTCCAGATTTGGCTTCTCAAGAAGGGCTCAGCTCCATAAGTAAGTAAGTAAGTAAGTATGAAGTTTGTGTTACAGACACAATTATCCATACCTATTAATGTGGTAATGTTTACTAATCTTGTCTTACAAATATGAATACTTGAGATCGAATAAGCTTTTCCAACCTGTTGTAATCATAAAACATTTCTCCTTGGAAATGCTAAAATAGATTAGATTTGTTCGAAGAAATTTTGTTAACATGAATACTTTACATGTATAAATGTTCTATTAATGAATGGAAGTCATTATAAATTTTTGCTGACTAGTTGGTCATCTCCCTTACAGTCCTGAAAATATTAGTTCCAGTTTGTTGATACAGTTTCATGATTCCACATACAGTTTTTTGTATGATTGTTAGGCTTCTTCTTAGTTCTTAATATTTGTAATATATTTCAGCATCCAGTTGCATTGATGTATCACTCTATACACGTACACTCACTTCCATCTCCAATGCACCTCTCATCACAATCTCTCCTTAATTTAAAATAGCATTAAAATCGCAATCAGCTGCTACACTTGGCCATCCTGTTCGAAACTGCCACACTAAACCATTTTTTATGTCAAAATATTGTAATGCTGTTTCATTTTCATCATTCACATCAAAATACATTTGTTTCAGAACGTGACCCTTTAGCCTTTTTTGCACTATTTACCTCTTGCAATGTATTTGCTTTTTGTGTTGTTTTGTTTAGCCCTCTGAACATCAGTGTGGTGGTGTTGTCAGTGTTATTTTTGTGCCCCTTAGTATGCATGTTCCCACTAGTCAAGTGTATGTCAATTTTTTATATTTTTACTTTCAGGAGAAATTGTTCATGAACATGGCAGCACCTGAGCTACATCCTGTTGTGCCGCCACATAGTGGTGTAGATCCTCAGCAACAGCAAGCAGTTGATATGGAAGCTTTGGCACACTACATAATGTCCAGTGCTCAGTTCCAACAAATGCTGACCACACGGGTTCATGCAGACACACAGGCTGACCAGAAGGCTGTGCCTGAGTCATCCAACCAACAGCAGGAACAGGATATGTATATGAAGGTACAGTTTTAAGTGTAAATTTTGCTTCAGGGTTATTATCTCTTGTACCTGCTTTCCTTAATTCACTAATACCTACAACTCTTGTTAAGTTAATTGTCATTGTGATTGCTATGAGAACCTCAAATCCTACATGTTTTAAGTTTAAGATTAATGTTATCCTCCCAGGAATGCCTAATCCTTCCATTAGATCTTTTGTCCTGTGGTTTACCAACCAGAATGTATGTATGTTTACCTTATGCATGCTACTTTTTCACATCATCTCATTGTCTTTGATGTGATCACCCATGGAATATTAGGAGTACAAATTTCAAAGCCTAGAGTGGTCTAATTTTTTCAATTCTTTTATTGCTTTCTCTTTTGGGGTCCATATATTATTCTTAATGTATAGTTTTAAAATCCACCCAATCTGTGGACTTCCATTTGATCGAAAGGTCATTTATGATCCTTATGTGCAGCCAACATTTTTGTGAAATCAGGATCACCTCCGTCTAATGCCAAGGTTAAGAATGGTGAAGATATAACTTCACTCCCCCATATGCTTTCATGCCATAGCGCTTAATTGTATAATTAAATACAGGGAATCTTTACAGTATCTCTGCTTGCTTATTGTGTACAAGATGTCTTCCAGTTTTTCCTCACTACCATTCAGACAGATGTACATAACCTCCACATAAGTGTTTTGTGATTATGCAGAGCATACAAAGTGTCGAAGGGACTGTGTTAATTGTGTGCAAGTACAATATGTATACTGCATTTTTATGCACATTTTCAGTTGTTTTCGTTTTAGGCAAATTTTCCTTTCACGAATACATTTTCTGTGTGTGTTGAAAATCTGTGTCACAGTGACTGTAATAATTTGTGTAACAATCCCAAAATAAAAAGTTTGCTTACATACTTTAATGCTATTTTGGTCGAGGAAACAATAGACATCGTTCATAATGCTGAAATTTGTTTTGTTTGCTAGGAAATGGAGTATGAACATTTGAATTGTGACTTGTATTTATAGCTCTAAAAATGGCTTAACAAAAGGTATAGCTAACCCTATAACAGACCATAGAGGCCCGTAGAGTTGTGAGACATCAGGGCTCCCACATTTTCTAGATGGTCGGCTCACAGATAGCATTGAGGTTGTCAACATTACGTGCCAGCCGCCCTTTACCCCCAGGAAGATTCCTGGTGCTCATTTCTGTTAGAGGCTGAATCAAGCCCAAGGCCATAGTGCGACTGGAAGGATTAGGCCAATTGAAAAATCAGTGACTTCAATATGAATTGAACCCATGACCTTCTGACAAAACTGCTAAGAAAATGAAAATCATCTGGGACAAGGATAGTCATAGTTTCAGCAGACAGATCAGAAGCCAGGGTCCGAAACTACTCTGATCTGGGCTAATGCAAATTTTGGCTTTATAAAAAGAAATGTCACAGATTAAGGTGTTACAAATATTTGTTTTTCTCAGACTAAAGAGAAAACAATATGTGTCTATTCTGAGTAAAGGAATTTTGTTTTACAGCTTTTGGAAGAACAGAAGGCTTCACTCTCACAGCTGACACATTACCTGCAGCAAATGCAGCAGAAAGTGGATCATCTTAGTTCTCAAGCCGAAAGGAGTCAGTCTCATGAGCAGGAGTGGGGGCTCAAATTGGAAGAGCAAAAGCAGGCTTTGAGAAAAGAAGCTGCAACACAATCGCTGATAAGAGACAGTGACCAAGTCCTAATGCGGAAAGAGTTGCGTGATATTCAGAGCCGGCTAAGACTCTTACAGGTATTGTGTTGATATATAATTTTCACTCTTTTCATATGAAATTGTATTTTCAGAATTGCCTTTCTCTTTCATTATGAAATTTAAATTTTAGTCTGTTTTTGCATTTTCATAACCGTAGGTTTCCTTAATTCTTGTGATTGTTATTCAGACACAAAGATGGAGTTAATTCAATACAGAGAATAAGTACATTTATATCGCTTGTAATTGCATTCAGTATGTTTACATAATATATCTCTGCATTGAGGATTATGATTCTATCTAAATATTGGTTGGTTTCCAATGGCTTTATTTGGGATCATTTAACCCAATTTGCTTTTTGCTTCCCAATAGAGAGCACTCAAGTTCTTGTTTTGTTGCATCTTGAAGAAGTTTGCACTTTTCTTTTGGGAAGCTTTGCGAGATTTGTTGCTCATTTTGCGCTACCCAGGGGACACGTATGACTTAAAGAATGTCACGGACACGAACAACTATATATTTCTTTATTTCTAATATTCATAACATATAACTTATTGCCACTCTTTCATGTGGCTTTGCTTTCAGAAGCCTCATAGCGTTAAAATGTGTGCAGTTGAGTTATCCTTGGGAAACCAGTAGTTGTTCAGCCAGTCAAGAAATTGATGAACTTTTATCAAACTTGTAGGTTCATCACCATAGCAACAGTGTGGTGCTGTATAGTTTGATACTGAAGAATGTCAGTATATAACCCATGGAAAAAAATAACATAATGATATTCACTTTCATTTGGTCCTTATCCTCATCCTGAGCCAGATGAATCCAATCCACACACTCACACCTTATTCCTTTAAGATTTATTGTAATATTGGCCTTGTATCTGTGTCTGGGGCTCCTAAGTGGATCTCTTCCTTTGGATTCTGTGACTAAAATCTTGTATGCATTGGTTATCTCTCTCATCTGTACCAAGTAGCACACCCATCTCATTTTACTTTATTTGACCATCAGATGTTTGTTGAAGAGTACAAACTATGAAACTCCTGAAGAGTATTGTTTTCAAGGATGTGATTCTATATCATCATCATCCACATCATTGGCAAAATGCCCCTTCTTGAGCCACAGCCTGCCTTAGAAGATTTTCCCAGACTTGTCTCTTCCATTGTGAATTAGACCATCTGGTCTTCACTTCTTTTGATTTTGCAGCAGTAATATTTTGTCAGAGCAAGGTCATCAGCCTTGCATCCAAGGCTGGATCAGGTCTCGGTATTTATGTTCACCAGTGACAGGGTGTCCAACTTATGCCCCCCAGGCATCAAGTTCCCTAATGGTCACCTATGACTCACAGGGCTACAGTGGAGGTATTCTAAGCTGCCTTCACATGAGGGTGATGCAGTATAGTCTGGTAGAAGTTCACCAGTGTTTCAGAGGAACATGCTGCCTCCATCTTGTTGGTCAGAGAGCAGACCCAACAAGCAGCAAGCATTTCGGGGCTAACACTTTGATACAGATTACATCTGACATGTTAGTGCCCTTCATAGTCACTTCTGTGAGAACCTCAGATCTCACATATGAAACTCCTCATACTTTTCTCTTATCTTCCTGTTTGCTTCCTCTAACATCCAGATATTAATCATTAAATTATATACTTGTGGGCACGCGGTAGCGTAATTGGTTGAGGGGCTATGCTACAAGCCGGACGATGAGGTCATTGGATTTTTTCAGTTGACCTAATCCTTCCAGCCACACTAGGCCCTGGGGTTTACTCAGCCTCTAACAGAAATGAGTACTAGGAATTAATGAAATAATTTTCCTGGGAAGTAAAGTGCGGCCAGTGCGTAAGGCTGACAACCTTACCGCCATTTTTGAGCTGATTGTCTAGATAATATGGGAGCCTCAACCTCTCACAACTCTATGGGCCTTCACGGCCTGGTAGAGGGATAGCTTTACTTTTTTTTTTTTCCTGGGAAGTAAAGCGCGGCCGGCGCGTAAGGCTGACAACCTTACCGCCATNTTAGTCGTCATATTCAGGAGGCTCATCACAACTACAGGCTAACTTACTTTGACCTACAAATTGGTTATAGCTGCTCCCTTAAACATCATTTCCAATTCATAATTCACACTTGTCTCACCATTTAATGCTTTATAGCACATGCAGTTGAAAAGGGCAATATTAGGAAAATGAGACCTTGCAAAGTAATGTTTCTGAAGTGTTTTTCTGGATGTGTCCATATGTGGCCTGCAGGAACAGCAGGCACAGATGTCACGTAGGTGCTGTCAGCGTAATACTGGTTCTGTGGCAGTAGATGGACATGTTATTGAGCAACATGTGTTCAGGGTGTTGGCTGATCTACTGGGTGCTACAGGAGGACAGTTTTCAGGAAACCCTGAAGACTTGCGTGCATGGGTTAGCAACATGTTCCTCGCTCGCAGTGATGTAGAGACCAGGCTTGCCAACCTGACCTTAACACTCCAGCGCCAAATGAGGTAACCTTTTTGTATAAACATCGAGTTTATTGCAGAAATTTAGAATTCCAGTATTGAAGTTTATGGTGACATATCATACAGACAGTTTTTCACTGTATTCATATTTTACCTCATGCAATAGTGATGGCATCTGTAGAACATTTTACTTGTGTTCATAGGGAAGCTATATTGCAGTCCAAGGAGTTAATCATGGCTTCGGTGTCAGAACACATCCAGAATGAATTTGCCAAATGGCAGGAGCAGCAGCGGCAACGTGACGTCATAACCACTGTCACCAGCAGAATGGTGTGGTTTGATTTCCTCACCTTTAGAACTCTAATGAAAGTAGTTTTGATTTTTAATTAAATTTTATTTTGTAGCAGTTATATTAGCATGAGCTGAAGTAGGTCAGTCAGTAAAGTAGCAGGCTACAGCAGTTGGATACCTGGGATTCACTTCCTTGCAGGATCAAGACTTGTCACATTGTCACAATATCCAGACCATCTCTTGAGACCCAGTAGGTGTAAAGTGTTGGTGGCATGAAGCTAGCCACACATCTCTGTATAATGCTGAGATGAAGGATGCTTGTATGAGCAGGTTTAGCTTTTCACTTTTTCTGTTTATTGGAGGAAAGATATCTGTATGCTATATTTATGCATTATGGACACTTGATTGAGTTTTGAGTTACCTGCAGTTCTTAGCGGCCTCCGTAGTCTAGAGGTAACGTTCCCACCTTATGACTCGTAGTACGCGGGTTCAAATACCCGGCGGAGGTCGTCGAATTTTTAAGGGCGGAAAAATTCAGGGAACAAGTCCTCTGGGAGGGACTTTAAGCCGTGGGTCCCGTGTCGTAGCTTTACGGCACGTAAAAGAACCTCATATCTCCTAAGGAGGTCACTGAGCCAAATTACGGACTTTTCCTGCCCAACAGCAGTCTCTAATACCTCTGGTAGATGGGGGAAGCATTATAGATACCTCTCAGCTAGTAGAACCGGTCTCGCTGGCTGGGCGGGACTGATGGTAAGCACCAGTACCGGTAGGATGTAGAGACGGTAGAAATCATAGAGGGAAGCACAATGGACCAATACAGGTCTAAGTGCATGGGGAAACCCACCCTCTCCAAATAACTAACTAACTACCTGCAGTTCTTTGCTTAGTTTTTAATATTTGTGTCCCTTAAAATTGATTAATTTGTGTGGGCTCATGCGTTTAGGTTTTTGTCTCTTTATAGTTTAATGCCAGACACTCAAGTTGTGAGCTTTATGATGTGGTGATGGTAGTTGGATTGTTTATGAGATAGATGTGAATTCTGAAACAGTGAAAATTTAAGTTAACATTTAAAAAAAAAATGGGGTTTTTTTGTTTGTTCCTTAGATGAAGATTTCGATTTCTTGAAGCCGGCCTGTTATGTAGCGATACTGCCTATTACCATTTAGCGCTGTATCAACATTCTCAGTAAAAGAGTAGACTGTAAGCTGTTGAGACAGCATCACCATTCTGTGTAGAAGCTATTAAGTCTGAAGCCTGTTTCTATATATGAATATGATTAAAATGTAAAACTAAAATTGAATATTTAGGTACATCTGCTGTCATGAGTAATTTTATGTTATGGATAAATTCTGTAGATTGTTACTGACTTGAATAACTGGCTTGCAATGGGCTGACACTTTACAGGAAACGTGGACAACTAACAATAGTAGTGTGGCAGGACTGACTGACTTACAAGTGCGGGCCATCGTGGATGAGGCTTTGGCAAAGTATGATGCAGATAAAACTGGTCTTGTGGACTATGCCCTTGAATCTTCAGGTAAGCCCATTATAGACACTGAATTTGGGGCATTCTGTAGTTTCCATACCCTGTAAGGTCTGTACACTAAACAATGCGGTGAACTGTGGTTACTCCCCCCCCCCACCCAGTTTCTTTTTTCTCACCCCCTCCCCAATCTTCAGGAGAATTGGGAACTGCTTCATTAAATAAAGGAGCAGCAAGGTGTAATACCTGTACTATAGCATATAGATACATTGCTATGTAATGGCTCTGTGAACAACGCCCGTTTCTATTTTATAAACCTTAATATAGGCAGTAATGAATAGGAGCACTTAATCTGCTGAAATGTGATGTATAAAGAACATTTAAATTCACTGGGCTGATAACTTCTGGATACATTGAACGTAAATGTCATGGCATTGGATTGAAGTACAATATTTTAATTTCATCAGAGTTATTATATGTATATTATCAACATCCTTTTCTCATCATCTTGGCTGGCTGCAGGTGGAAGTGTCATAAGTACGAGGTGTACTGAAACTTATCAGGCGAAGACTCCTCAACTGTCTGTGATGGGTATCCCATTGTGGTACCCTCCAAACAACCCTCGCACTGTTATACAGGTATAGTTTTCTGTTCTTGTTAAGCATGTGTGAATTTGACTCCTAAGCCATATGAAAAGAGTTACTTTATATTTTTTTAACTGATGGAACATGAGCCAGGATAAATGAACCAGCCTATTGCCTGGGTATAAGCTAGATTGTTAAGGTTGAATTCCCTGCAAGGACAGTGATATGCAGGCCAACTTAAGTGCCCACTTAGCCTCCTATTTAGTGAAGGCAGTGGTAAAAGTGACTGCTCTATGTTAGTTTAGTGCCAGGGTTAAGAATTGGTGGATCTGTACCGCCACTCCCCCATCACCATTCCGAGTGAAGTGCAAGGATAGGTGTTACCGTTATATTCAGAGTGAAGTCCAGTTTGGTGTATTTAGTAATTTTAAATGAGTTTTGCATTTCCAAGCTGTTAGACACAGAGATATTGTTTGATATTGCAGCATGTGAAAAGCAGAAATGTTTAGAAAAACAAAGATTTGTGAAGAATTCTGTCTTCTGGGATATAACATGTAGTCAGCCGAAAATCAACTGACATTTTGGAAGAGCATTTTTACATCCGTTTTCAGGGTTGAAGAATTAGCTGAACTAGAAATCAGCATGAAACAGGTGGCAAGCAGTGTTTTGTTTGCTACCTACTTCTTCATAGTTTCTTGCTTGACCAATTCTTTGACCTTGAAGGTGGGGGTGACGTGTTCCTCTGAAACATCAGTTGACCATTAACTGACTACATCCCAAAAGGTAGAACTGTTCATAACAGGTGTTACAAGAACCTCAAATCCTACAAAGCCTTTCACAGTGGCACGTGTATAGTTCATTGGCGTTCCTAGGTTATCACTCATTGGGATCAGATATGAAATATATGTGAAATTCAGTGGAACAAAAGACAGCATTAATAATAAAGATTAGAAGTACAAAAGTACAGTTCATCCAAGGATGACTCAGTAATAATGAAAGAATTGTTAAATGCTGATATGGACAATAATAGGAGAGAGAGAGAGACAGTAGCTCATTTGGTATAGTGAGTAGGCGGTGGGCTGGATGAACAGGCTGTCAAGGTTCGATTCCTGTTAGGGGCCAGAGACTTTTCTCTGCTTCACAGTGTCCAAACCAGCAGTGGAGTCGACTCAGCCCCCCTGCGGTGGGTACTAGCAACTCTTTCCTTGGGGGGGGGGTAAGGCAGCAGGGTTGTGAAGCTGACTACTCATTTATATCTGGTGCTGAGGTTAATCCTGGAACTGTCTCTACACTCCTCCAGATATCTTCAGGGCATGATGCTTAATTAATTAAGCACAGGGGCAGCTTTACTTCACAGTGATAGGTGAATTATTACTCTTGCTGTAATGACAATTGTTGCTGGGAAATGGAAGGCAAAGAACCATTTTAGTTTTGCAGAATCTGCTCAAAATCATTATCATGAAGACTGCACTATATGTGACTATGTACAGTACAGAGATTTGTTGATAGTAAATTAAAAATTACAGTTCTTCCTCAAAGTTATAGTTGTCCTCCAGCTAATACGTATTCTGTAAATTCTGTCGCCATGGTTAAGAATAGAAATATCCGTATGGAACAAACGTGAAAGAATATGTAAAAGTAAAGCTATCCTTGTAACAGGCTGCGAAGCCCATAGGGTTGTGAGTCATTGAGGCTCCCACATTATCTAGACAGTTGGCTCAAAGATGGCAGTAAGGATGTCAGCCTTACGCGTCGGCCACACTTTACTCCCCAGGAAAATTATTTAATTAATTCCTGGTACTTATTTCTGTTAGAGGCTGAGTCGACCCCAGGGCCATAGTGCGACTAAAAGGATTAGGTCAATTGAAAAAAAATCAAATGACTTTATTGGGACTTGAACCCATGACCTTCTGGCTTGTAGCATAGTGCCTCAACCAACTATGCTACTGTGTGCCCCCCATGTTATCATATTTATATTTCTTCAGTGTATTGAACATCACCCCATGTCAGTATCCTAGAAATGTACTATAATCATTCAGATGTAGGAAAATGTGTCATTTCTTTGTATTGCAGCCTGGTGTACACCCTGGTGAATGCTGGGCATTCAGTGGTTCCCAAGGGTTTCTTGTTATCAAACTGTCAGGGCTAATCCAGATCAGTGCCTTCAGTCTGGAGCACATTCCCCGCTCCCTGTCCCCATATGGCAGGATTGACTCTGCCCCAAAGGACTTCACTGTGTGGGTTAGTTAACGGATTGCATATAATTCGCATGTCCTTGGTTCTGATGATAATATGGTATGCTGTTAAATGTTGTACTAGAATACAAGAATTTGAGGTACTGACATTTTGTAACACAAAAATTTGTGTTAAATGTGGTTTCAGTTTCAAAGTGTTCATGTACTCTTTTTCCAGTAAACCTGAGAAAATGAGCTTACTATATAACAAGACCAAAAATTACATTGAGTCACATATGTTTTGTCTGAAACATTTTTTTTTTTTTTTTCAAAATTGTTGACATAGACAAAATATTCTTATGGATTTATTATGGCCTAAAATTTGTGCAGCTGTTCTTCTTATTTTTTTTTAAGACATCTTAAAATCTGTAAGTGGAATCATATAAATGTTCCAGAATCAAATTTTGAGATTGTACTTCCTGTAGCATTGGTATCCCTTGCTTGTAAATCCCATTCCATGGCCTTTAACTGAAAGAGGCAGTATTCTACAAAACAGCCACATCACCTGCCCTGAAAATGTTATGTACATAGTACTACTGGTAATGTAAGAAACTGTTGGCAGTGCAGTATTTTCTGAGTGTGCGATTGTAAGACAACCGTCAAGTATCAATAAAGGAACTCATATTTGAATAAATATGCTCTTTGGATGATGTCTTCTTTTTAATTATCTGTGCTACTTCTTCCTCTACTGCAGTGGTTAGTTTAGAGTTCACTCTAATGTTATGTTTGGATTTATCCTACAATGACCGCTGGAAATGCTGACTTTTTTAACCTCAGTATTATTCGCTGCAGGGATTGAAGGACGTGCAGGACACAGAACCTGTGTTGCTTGGGAAGTACACATATCAGCAGAATGGCACTAGTCTTCAACATTTCAGTGTACAGGCAAGTAAAAGTTATGTGATAAGCATGTACAGATCATGATGTGTAGCTTGGAAATTCTAAGTAACTTTAATGCTCACTAAAGTTCATGGGAATTTTGAATATTAAACTTTGAATTTACATCTTGCTGCTAATTCCAACAATTAAACTTTTGAGATAGCTTATAACAACAATAAATAAATATTATTTAAAGTTCTCATTATAAGTGAAAATCTGGTGCAGAAGAGTATGAAAAATATAGAAGCATACCGGATACAGAAACTGTGTTTTGTATTAAATTCTTACCTCCTCCTATTTACTGCTCAGCTTTGCAGTAAATTAATTTCCAAAGTTATCCTTTATATAATTTTTTATGTTCCTTCTTTCATTCTTACTTAACTGGTAGTTCATAAAAATTATCCATGTTAAGTGATGCATTTAGAGCAAAGCAACAACATGCAATTTGCTGTGATGCAGAAAGTTAGAAGTTGCTTCCAGGTGCCAGCTTTCCTATCTGAAATGTGAAATGAATCGAATGCTACAGAAGGTAAAAAAATGTATTAATTAATCAATTCTAATATGTGTAAGTCTTCATTTCTGTTTTGAAATTAATGGTGTAACCTTGTTAAGAAGATATTCAAAATGAATTTATTTCATTCTGCTAAAATTTCAAAAAAGTTTTCCATCATCTGCATTTAACTCACTAAACAGAACATTTGTGACTACATTTTCTGTGCAAAATATCTGTCATTTTCACCATCTTGTTTTTCTTTTTCTCCTGTTTTCATTTTTGGATATATTTATATATAAACTGCGATAGCAGTTGCAGTTTGAAATACAGCATTTTGTGAGCAAAGAAACCAGTTAACTGCAAGTACAGAAAACTTTTTATTTAGGTGCATGCACACCAGCAACATGCTGCAAGGATAGTAGCAACAAATGTAGCCGGAAATTAGTAGTGTGCTACAGGTTCCCCATGGTCACCTTGGCCTAAGTGTGCCTTAAACCCATAAAAGATCAAGAATGTAATGTAAAAAGAAATTTGTTGATCTAGAATCAAATGGGAGACTTCCAAATTAGTGTATGACTGAACAATTGTGATGACTCATGTTACAATTTTTAGTCATTACAATACACATTTTAGTTAATATAAGCGTTCTGAGTCATATTATGACTCTTTGACGTTATGACTCATCTTTCAGTCTTCATCCGGTTTTGAGTCTTGCTACTTTCAGTCACCATATAAGAGTTCTAAGTCAGATCTTTTTGTGCGCTGAATATATGTTCTGAACCATGAAACAAACTTAAATCACTATGTAAGAATTTCATAATGTTTCTTCATAGGCATAGTGTTTAAGGTAAAGGTCACTTTTAAACTAACATGTTGCATCATTCCTTCATGTTAATGATGTTAGTAGTACTTAGTAGAAAGTATTAAAAATTGTGAAAAGAATCTCGTACATATATTATGAAAGTCCACAAGAAATAGTACCATTTAAACACCTTATACTTCTTGGGTTGAAACAGGTCAGTTACACATTCTGGTATGATGCATTCTAAAGACAATTGATATTGTTCTTTTGCATGTTGGTGTCATTATGTGAGGAAGATGACTACAGTTTATCTCCTGTATGACCTATATATGGCATCATATCAGTATATCCCTTAAATTAGAATGAAGCTCCATCAGACCTTTTTTCTGGCAGTACCTATCAGTATGCAGTAATATAAAATCTGTTATTAAAAAAATTAAATCCATTCTTGAAAAATGATCACACATGAATCCAATTGCATAACGTTTATACCAGAATCCATGAAAGTTGTGAATTTGGTTCAAAGGTTGAAGAGGGACGACCATGTGAACACCAGTAACCTTCTGATATATTGGGTTTTTGGAATCGTCCTGGTTTTTAAGATGACTAATAAAAACACGACGTTTCGGAAACTGGATCTGTTTCCGTCCTCAGGTGAAGGAAAAACCTATTCTGTTGGGTCCGTTAGAAAGAGCTAGCCTCAATCACTGGACCTAGTTATCTTAAAAACTGGGACGATGGATAAAGTCCAAAAACCCAATATGTCAGTGTGTTATACACCATCGTCAGAATCCTATAGTAACTACCAGTAACCTTCCCCCCTCATACACACAAGAGCACTGGTGTACATTATTTGTGCCAAGTATGAACATCATTATTTTAACAAGGCTTCTTTAACTTGTAGCTATCAGCTATGTAAATTTTGTTTATTTGTCGCTGAAAATTGGTGTTACTGTTTAATCATTAACGCTGTAAAAATGGACAAACTTGTTGGCTCTCTGTTTAGCTTAGTGTTTATTTTGACTGATATTGTTTCAGATCTGTGTCTTTTTCCTTCTTTGTTTTCAGCAATTTAAACTTCTCCAAGTTCTTAACTCTGGTAGCACATGTAGGGAAATTGTTTTCTCACATCAGGCAGCCCTTGGGGCATTAATTCCTAGTGGTCCTTGAATAGAAAGCCTGGTGTGCCCCATACCAATTTAATAGTTATTTAAAGATAAACTTCACTAGGAATTGAGTTGTGGATATTGTGGATGTTCATTACCACATAGCATTATAAGGTGTAATACAAATAAACATGTTTAATGCAGTCTCCAGATTCAAGTGTATATGTATGTATGTAATATGTATTTTGATATATTCAATAAAAGCTGGCATTTTTTATACCTCCTTAGAATCCTAAATTTCAGAAAATATGTAACCCCAATTACATATACAATGTGGTTAACATGTACATTTTGACAATCACTGGTGCTTATTGTGCCTTACTTTGAAGGTTGATTTTTCATCTGTAATGACTGACAGAAACAGTTCTCCAGTTTTAAATTGCCTTTAATGTTTGATAAGTTTGTTTTATTTTTGTTGCAGAACCTAGATGTTAATCTGTTTGAGTTGGTGGAGCTCCGTATTGAATCTAATCATGGACACATGGAGTATACCTGCCTATACAGGTTTCGAGTACACGGTGTTCTCATCTCCGAGTGACTTCAGCTATTGGAACTTCATTCCCACGCTTTGCAATAAGATACTTAACTCCATATGTTTGGGTGATCTCTTGTAATCTCTCACTAAATCAGTGCTCAGAAAGATTTGAAACTTCTGTTAACTAAATGAGATGGCAATTTCTGATATCCTTTCCAAGGACATTGATTTTTATGTTATATAATATCATTACCATTATTATAGGTTATGTTTCTGACATCAGATATCTTCTATATTTCTCTTTCCGTAGGAGTTATGTGTATGTGTTGTTATTGTCTTATTATTCAGAATCAGCTGTGCCCAACCTGGATTGAAAGAATGGTCCTGTGTCTGCATTCGAGATTTTGTTTTCAAATAGAGTAAAGACTAAAAACATTTAAATAAATAATCTGAACTGTCCTGATCAAGTACATGTATATTTGTAATGCAATAACCATCTTTTGCTTTAAAAGATAGTAAATTTTAGAATTTTAATTTTGACATATTGTTCATCTGCTGAAATTTGCATTTTGGGGGCTTTTTAATGTATGTATATAAAGATGCTTAATCTCACTGATGTCTCATAATACTGTAATTTTAGATTTGCTTTATAACTTTTCTCAACCATTTTCACTTCCTTGACAAACTTAATTAGGAAAATTAGCAACAGTTTCTCTTATTTTTAAGATTAAAATTTAAACACGAGTAACATATGCAGTAGGTACAAAATAAGAACAGTAATTAAATATTTAAATCTATTTAGGACAGGTTGTGATATTTAATTCTCATAGTTTTGTTTAGTTTTGGTATTGAGGCAGTATTCTACAAGCTGGAAGGTTGTGGATTCGATTTCTGATGAGGTCATTGGGATTTTTAAATTGACCTGATCTTCCAGCCGCACTATGACTGCACTATGACTTAGACTCTTAACAGAAATCTTCCTGGGGTTAAAGGTCAGCTGGCCAGCACATAAGGCTGACAACTTCACTGTCATCTATGAGCCAGTTGTCTAGAAAATGTGGGATCCTTGACATCTCACAGCCCTCTGGGCCTCCACAGCCTGTTACAGGGATAGCTTTACCATTTGTTAGTATAAATTTATGAGAAATCAGGTCATTTACCTTCTGTCTTTACAGATATAAAAAGCAAATGTTCTGAAAGCATTGCATTTTAGGCTCATGAGAATGTGAAGTTAACTGAACTCTACAGTGTGTAAATACACTGTACTGTAAAAGCCATGTAGTCATCATTAATAATATATGAGTAGATTAAAGATAAAGCTGTCCTTGTAACAGGCTGTGGAGGCTCAGAGGCTTGTGAGACATCGAGTCTTCAACGATTTAATAGATCAGCTCACAGATTGCACTGAGGTTGACAGCCTTACATGCCGGCTGCCCTTTACCGCCTTCAAGTTTCCTGGTACTCATTTCTATTAAAGGCTGAGTCAACCCCAGGGCCATAATGCGACTGGAAGGATTAGGTCAATTGAAAAATCCAGTGAACTCATCATGAATCAAACCTGTGACCTTGTGGCTTCAAGAATAATGCCTCAACCAACTATACTTCTGTGCTTTCCCATAGTTGAAAAGATACAAACTGAAATGAAAAGCTTTTGCTGCATGTATTATTCTGCTCTTTCTTTTAATTACCATCTCTTGTAGCCGTCATTAGACTTGCTGGGTCATATGGTGCTAAATACTACAGTTTGACGTTGATGTGTTATGAGAGAAGGTTGGGCATTTCTGATGCATTCAACTGATAAATCAGCCATTTCTTCAAAACATTATTAAAGAGTATTCCAAGAATTGTGTTTCTGCATGTCATATTTAAACCAGAAATTACCTTTGTGGTGGTTTCAGGTGTTTTTTGAGCATTTTAGATTGTTGAAATCAGTAGAGGCTAACTATGTCATAGTGTGGGATGAAGTGTTAAGTGCTTGCCTGTCACTGGATTTCACAACCAGTCATTCTGCTATAGTACAAAGACATCTGTGTTCATTCTCCAAAACTTATTTATTGTTTATTTGTAAAAGCACACAAGGATCATTGCACAAATGAACAAAGACAAATGTGTTTGAGATGTGATACTAGAATGTAAGTGACATATAGTATGCAGTTTTAAGTATTTAGCCAGTAAACAGAGGATGACAGTTTCACATCAAACTAGTCAGAGGGGGCTGTATCCTGCTGTTTGGCCCTGACAACTAGCTAGCTGGCAGCTTTGTTTCTTTTCTCAGTGTTTTAATCTATTTTGTAATTATTCATCTCACTGTTACCTTGAGTCAGTAATACTTTGAACTGTACATGTTTCTATTAATGAAGAGAGAGAACTGGATAACCGTAATAAGTTTTCAGTATAGAAACTTGTTACTAAAATGATTAGGCAAAATCAGTCACTCAAGTTAAGCAATAATGTGCATGCCTTTGTCATGAAAGTTATAACTATATCATTTTTGTTGTCTTCCCATTACATAATTTCTTTTCATATTATGTTAACACTTTCCTGCTGTCTTGAAGGGTTTTTTTTTTCTTTTTTCCTCCACTCTTAGTTTAACCTATATTTTTTGCTGAAAAGCAGTTAGCGTCAAATTTCTGTTTTATAATAGCAATTGAAATGTTGACAGCTTTGTTTTAAAGGAGAACTTTACATAATTTAACATCTGTAGCTAGCCAAAAATAAAGAATTTATGTTTTCATTTCAAATAGATATATAAATATAAAGAAAATATCAGTTACTAATATACTAATAGTCATATAGGATTCTTTCCTGTATTCTTGTTACCAAATTTTGCATTTTTTTTTTTTTTACTTTTATTGCACATCTCTTCTATTAAACATCACATAGAGAGTACAAAGTAATGTTTCAGAAAAATTATATATTTGTCACAATAGATGATATCTTTTGATAGTTTATATTTCTAATAGATGAAGAAGAAAGGTTTTATAATGTTGAAAAATTTTGGAGTTATAATGCATGAGGGCTATTCAGAAAGTAACCTCCAATGAGCTGTTAACAAAGCAAGAAATGAGAAAAAAGATATTATATACAAAAGATAGGTACATACTTAAACTAATTTGCAATGTAGTCACCGCCAGAATCGAGGCACTTATCGTATCAGGGAATAAGTTTTCGTATGACAGTGTAAAAGAAGTCCGCCACCTGTGATCTCAACCACATTTTGACACCTTCTCATTGTTGAAACACTGATCTCAACCAGTTCTTCAGGTGGGTTAATAGGTGGTAGTTGCTCAGAGGAAGATCAGGGCTGTAAGAAGGGTTGTCAAACAACTCCCAGTTGAAATACTCCAGCAGTTGTATGCAGATGTGCATTGTCATGGAGGAGCACAACACCAAATATCGGTGTTCCACACCTTTTGTTCTGAATTGCCCTACACATTTTTTTTCTAATAGTATTTCATAACACAAAACATGAGCTCACAGGCAGCAAACTTCTGAATAGCCCTTTTAAGTTCTAATTTTATTACCTCGACAGTTATTTTCCTAGTCCAGCCAGCTGGTTGATTCTCATTTATGTGTAGAATTGAGTAGAATATTGCCTATAGTAAGTGAAGATTAATTGCATCTGTTGTATTATAATTTCCGAACTTGGCCAGTGACATAGGTAATAGTCACTAAACCACATGAATATTAAAAGCATTAAAGTGGTAAATTTAAGTAAGATCTGTAATTATGTTATATATGCTTGTATTCTATATCTCATAGTAAAGGAGCAGGCTGCAACATATTATAAAATATAAAACCGAGATTAACGGCCTTGGGAATTCGTTGCCCTGACCACACAACACCCTCTATCTGCAAAAGTTGGCACTAACTTTGCCAACAAGCGGCGGTCACTGGGTCGGTATAGTTCACTTGTGGACTAAAACCACAGAGTTTTCTTTGTTTCTGTTTTGTTTATTTTACAATTTTATTATTTATTCTAATTATTAATGATTCTAGAGAGATGGACAGAGAAAGGATCATGGAAATTAAAATTATGATGTGACGTAACATTTTGCATGATATTAACTATGTCATTGTCCAAGGCATTCTGCCATCCTGTTTTGGTGCTAGATATATAGGTAGTGCTTTCTTCAGATTTAAGGGTAGAGAAAGAAAAGAGTTCAACAGAAAATTAAAATAGTGTACTTTATAACATTTTATAGATATCATAATTTAATAAAAGAGAAAATTCTTATACTTAAGTGTGAAAACTGAACCTGATTTGTAGTTCCATGGCATTGTGCTCAGTAACTGTTATGAATTAAAAACTGATACATTGATGTGTTTGACATTACTACTGGTTTCATTTTTCTTTTGGAAACTAAAGGCCTGGTGAAGGTGAGATGCAAAATTCTTGAAAAATCCATATATCTGTGATTTATGTGAATGTGTGTGCCAAATAATTCATTCTTCTACACATTGTCTGGTAAGGTGTGGTTATGTCTCAGTATATTAAAACATTACTGCTAATGTGTAACTATAGTGCCTTAGTATTTACTGGCCTACTGGCTAGAGCACTAGCTTGCAATATCACTTGGTACTGTTTGAGATCCTACTCACTATATGGGAGACATCAGGGAAGTAAAGCTGTACTTGGATTGATTTATTCATGCTTTACTTTCAAGCACAGTCATTCCAGAAATATGTTACATAATGTGGAGAGTAAATGGTACAGCAGACAGGATTTTTATGGTAAATCCTTACACCTGTTTCTCAGGAAGTACCAAAAAAATCAAGATTTTTAATGACTGAGAAAAATGGTGCTTTATTACATATTTACACTTCTCTATGGCATTTCCCTGCAGTGTTTTTACCTCATTTAGTTTTTTCAGTAATATGGATTTGTAACCTAAACCCAAAATGACCTCTTATGATTTTGATTAAATTTCACTAATTGATAGACTGCAGAAACCATGTACCAACAAAATGTTATGGCACCCAGGAGCTCTTCATTTCTAACAGTAATAGATTGAAAAAGTTTGCTTGGTATAGTTCGTATATTTTTATTTTAAACTTTATTGGCACATGCAAGTACATTTGTCAAGATTTATGATTCTAAACATCTTTCCTGCAATATTTTCATTGTTAATATTAGCAGTTGATTCTGCGTTGTCAAGATACATCACTTAGTTTGTTATTATGTTTAGTATGTTTTAAGTGTAAAATGAATTATGTGTGGACATGCAACATGTTTTTCATCTCTGTAACATGCTGGCTTAAGACTTTTATCATCCATTCTCCACAATATTGTAATGACAAACTGGCCTGATGTAACAGTAATACAGTGCTAAAATGGTTCTTTACCTTGAGCCAGACTACTGCAGCCATGGTGCTGAAATTCTGTCCACACCTGCATGCACACTTCCATTCCATTATGTTTTGCTGCTGTCATTTATAAATATCAATCTTAATAGATCATTGTTAGTCAGAAAGGCAAGTTACAGGCATGTAACCATGCAACCTAATTCAGTATCTTATCAGCTCTAAGGCATTGTAGCATCAGAATACCTCAAAAGCAAAGGTACAGAAATACTGCAACAAATAAAACTATACTGTATTTGTAGTTGCGGGGGAGGGAAGGAAGTGAGGGTAGGAGGTAGACCACTTGAGAAATCTAAAAGCAGACACCAACCATTGCAGTGTTAGGGTGATAATAATAATAAAATGAGACAAAGATGACAGTGATAACAAAAAGAAATCATTTATGGATGTGAAGAAAGCAGTCTTCTGGGATTTGGCACCGTGTGTATATGTGGTGTTAACCGACGTTTCGGAGGAACGTATCGCCTCCATCTTCAGGACTGCTTTTACCGGTTCTCACGGTCTCTTAGCTTGCAGATTTCTTATATTTTTTCTTCTACCCTGAAGATGGAGCGATACGTTCCTCCGAAACA